ATTCGAAGCAAGGTCAATATCCTCGATCAAAACCCATCGCCCTTTGCGCACTGCGGTTGTTAGCACGCCAGGTTGCCAATGAAAAGAGGCTGACTTGGGTGTGGACACATATGTGCCTAAAAGTGTTTTTGAGTCGGTTTGTTCTCCGAGATGAATTTTCAAAAGATCTAAAAATTCATTGAGTCAACTTAATCAAATATCATAACGCAGGAGTATCTTGTCACTGTATATTAACCTTCATCACGTCCAGTTGCAATCGCGATCTCCTCTACCAAGGCCGTCTTTCCGGAACCAGTTTCACCCTCCAACAACACCGGTAGACCGACGGAAATGGCGAAACATATTGCACTCAAATTTTTTTGGGTTGTCTCAGTCATCACGATGCGCTGTTTGCTCCTTAAACATTCTACGCTTATTGGTCGAGTAGATCGAGGCAATAGAATTCCCGAAATATTGACAGTTAAGCTTGATAAATTTTTTTCAAGTTCAGAGGATATTGAAAGGGCAGAATCATCAAGACCATTTTGATACAGAGAAATTTGTTGCCTGGCGATTGATCCCTGTTCCAGCAGACTGACAAAAAAAAAAAAAAAATCAAAATGCATAAACTCGGAAACAAAGAATTAAATATAAGCAAAACGTAAACTCACGTCAGCATTCTAATGTCACAAGTCTCGATGTCTTTCCAATCTATAAAAACATTTCCCCCTTTAGGGAAAACCCATATTTGACGTGCAATTTCGCGTTGCGCGTTGCTCATCTCAAAGACAATACTTATACACTGAATGGCTAAGTAACGAATCGATTCATCGGAACTTGTTAACAGCTGAAAAAGAGAAGACCAATTCCACAGGGGGACAAATGTTCTCGCGGAAAATCTTAAAAGTTGATAGGCAATCGTCAGTAGGCATTTTATGTCTTTTGTAACTGCCGACGACTATAAGAATGAATGACGAACACGTTATCTCGTGCTATTTATTAACTAGTGATAATCGAATTACATTAGACACAACTTACATTCACCTCTTCGATGGTGGGACTCTTATACATTGAATCAAGTCTCAAAAGAAGTGAGGGAGAGCGTGAAAAGAATGAAACGGATACACTATGAATAAAAACGAACATGTTCAGTTAATAATAGAGATAAAATGATAATGAAGGTGGAAAATCTACCTTAGCAAATGAGGCGCTAACGGTAGTAACTTGCTGAACGCGAGGGCAACCCTTTCTACGTGAAAAACTGCACCCTTGTCAACCATCATATCGTCGCGATAAACTTCATTAGGTAATAACCAGCGGGAAACAAGGTCGATGAGGATAGGACGAAATAATTCTGAAACTGATAGGGTCAGCAAAGGATGCAAAAGTAATTCGGACACGACGTTTAAGATTTTATAATCATTTTGGGGAATATCACTGTTCAATAAGGAATTTAACAGGACGACTTGTTCTTTCGACGCGTTCGAGGAATGAAGCGAGCTTCTCACGTCGATTTGTTCGATTCTCGATAATAATTCTTTGCACGCCTTCTGGATGTCCATTTTAAAGAGAATGCGACCAATATACTGTATGCATTATATATACAGTATATATAATGTAATATACAAAAAAAAAAAAATTTTTTTTCTTATCAAATCAAGATTGCCTCTGATTGGCTAGATTAATAATTGATTTTTAGTATAAAATCTCGGAAAAACTCGATTCAAATAATTTGGTGGGAAGAAAATGAGTTACCGAGGTTCTAAAACGGCGAACAAACAAGGTTGGCATACCGGCGGAATGAGAGGCCGAGGAAGAAGAGGTCGGGGTAGAGGAATAGAGGGGAGAGAACAAGAACGCGTAGGAAAAGTGTTGCCCAAACTGATTGAATTCGAAAAACCACCAAAGAAAGGTTTTCGCGAAATTCCTATAATTCCAACCCGGGAAGAAATTCTTGGTGAACGACCCACCGACCTTCCAATCAATAAAGTCGATGAACCCTTTGAATCAATTGAGGAATATCTCGAAACCCATTATAAATTGTTACGCGAGGATTTTGTACGTTCTCTTCGAGAAGGCATCGAACGTTACTGCGAAACCGACGAACATGACGAAGATGCGCGAACTGACATAAGAGTATACGAAAATGTGTGTATTCGTTAACGGCAACGTTAAATCATGAAATCATAAAATAAAATTGATTCTAAAAGAGAATGCGTTATGACTTTTCAAGGTTAAGGTGGTCGGAGTTACGTTTGCTGGCGTGGGTGTGGTACAACGTATTTCCTTCCGAACGCAGCATTATGAACAAGTTAAATGGTACTAGTAAGGTGAATTCAACCGTGCTACCTCTCACAATTTAAACGACTGATCGTTCCGCACTTAGGTCCATGAGTAAACGATTGATTCCGGGAACTTTGGTAGTTCTAACAAACGATAAGTTTTCAACCATGAAATTTGCTACCGTCATCAACCGACCAGAGGAACTATTGTCAAAATCGTACAATTTGCAAATAGACATTATGTTTAGACCCGAAGACATTGAGTTCGAACTCCCTGATAACTACATCATGGTAACTATTGTTGAAGATTAATTATTATCGCGCCGCATGAATACTGAAAACCAACACTTGGGATTTAATCGGTTTTTATTATATAGGTGGAATCAATATCATCGTATTTCGAAGGTACTGTTACTGTTCAAATCGTGTTCTAAATATACCCACCCTCTTGTGTTACACGAGATCTTCTTTTCAATTCATTATGTACCTATCATAGCATATCGATACATCCTCAATGTCCTTCAAGAATTGGACCCCGATACCCTTCCATTTAAATCACACATCATTGGTGTTAATCCGAACATTGGGGCTCCGAAATATCAGGAGCGTCGTGTTTTAAACCAAAATTATGATTTTGGCAACGCAAAAGCTTTCAAAAACATGAAAGAAGTTTTAGGTACAACAATGGTGACTATAATTCTTTCATTACAATGATTGACACACATGAGAAAAAAAGTACCCTATATCTTCTCGTCGCCATTTGCGCAGGTCAATGTATCAAGTTGTTGGGAGGAATGGCCGAGGTTGGATGATGTTGAACCAGGTCTACATTCTTCTCAGTATTTGGCACTGAAACGAATGCTAACCAGAGAACTGGCATTGATTCAAGGACCACCGGGGACCGGAAAAACGTATGTCGGTTTGGCAGCTGTGCAAATATTGCTGGAAAATACAGCCGAAACTATAATTATTGCTTGTCAAACAAATCACGCTCTCGACCAATTTTTAGAAGGTCCCATTTACTTCGGTTTTCCTTTGTTTTTGATCACGCCAATTTGTTTTTAAAAATCAAACGACTTACTAATAAATACAGGAATCCTGGATTTCGAAGAAAACATCATACGTCTAGGCTCGCGATCAAAGTCAGAAAGAGTCTTGCAGCACACCCTCTATGAGAAATCTAGAAATGCCGGCGAATCCAATCATCCCGAACTTTCCAGACTTTATAAGGAACGAGCAAAAATTGAGAGAAAGATGGAAAAATTGTGTGATAAGATTCTAGACCCCTTTGTCGACATGGAATATATTAGGGAAAAGGAAATTTTGAGCGAAGATCAAATTTCGAGTCTTAAACAAGACGACTGGTATTTGGGCAGTTCTCAGAATGAAAGAGGTGAACAAGATAGAAATTACATAAAAGAATGGTTAGAGTCATCCATAATGACATATTCTTCAACCTACGATGAACTTGAGAATAAAATCGCCCAAACAATTGCCGGTGAACAAAAACATGATGAGGAAGACGAGGTGGAAGACGAGGAGATGATTGAAGATGCAAAAGATCAATTTCAAGGAATTGAGGGAGGGATAATAACAAAAGGGAAATATGTTAAAGTTAAAGGGGACATCTATGTTAATTCGGAGACGTATGTTAATAACAAGGAATTATCCGATTATGAATCCGTTGAAGATCTATGGGAGATTCCGCCTCAAGTGCGAGCGGCATTACATAACAAATGGCGAAAACGGAGATTGGATGAAATAAAGAAGCAACTAAAGTTGCTTAACCAAGACTATTCGAAGATTTCAGAAGAAATAAAAACCCAAAAGATTCGCAAAGATCTCGTGCTTTTGAAATCCGCAAGGGTGATTGGAATGACCACCACAGCTGCAGTAGGCCATTGCAACTTTACACCAGTGCGAATTTTTGTTCATGATAATTATCATTTAATTTACGAATAATCTAAACCTCACAGGCGAAATATCATGTATTATTAATGAATTTGGAACCGAAGATTATGGTAATTGAAGAAGCTGCTGAAACATTGGAGGCACATATCATTACTGCTTTGACACCATCCATCGAGCATCTCATTCTTATTGGGTAGGGAAAGAAAATTTTTACAAGCCAATCCTTATGCTCCAAATAATTAAACGATAGATTCTAACCCGTCATGTGTATTCAGCGATCACAAACAACTTCGACCAAACACATCTGTACATGAACTTGCCGATTATAACGTAGGATTCTCATGCGGTTGAGGGGAAAAAAATTTTTTTTCGAAAATCCTTATACATTTATTTATTTATTTATTTACTCCTTTCTATTCGGAACTTAAATCAGAATCTTGGAATTTCGCTTTTCGAAAGATTGGTTAAGTACTTGCCCTTCACGCAACTCACCGAGCAAAGGCGCATGCGACCCGAGATACGCGAACTTTTAACGCCAATTTATAATGACACCCTGACAGACCATGAGAGTGTCTGCAATTATCCTTGTGTTCCAGGGATTTTCGAAAATCTTTATTTCTTTGATCATTTAGAAGAGGAAGAAACACTTCAGGAATCTATGAGCAAGATAAACAAATTTGAAGCTAGAATGTGCGCTAAGCTTGCGGCATTCCTCGTGAACTGTGAATATGATCCCACAAAAATGTAAATAATTAAAAATCCAATCGATCCTTTATTCCTCTTGACATAAGTTTTTAACAATAGCAAATTATATTTTTGTTAGTACCATCCTTAGTATGTATTCAGGACAACGAAAGATGATTGAGTCACTGCTTAGAGAGGAAGGTAGGAAGTCGGAAGACGTGAAAAAAGTACGAGTTAGTTCCGTTGATGGTTTCCAAGGAGAGGAGAACAATGTAATTATACTTTCATTGGTGAGAAGTCGAGATGCGCGCCATGGAATTGGATTCTTGAGTATTTCTAACAGAAGTAAATATTGACATTCTTTCTTCTTTGAGTTTATTAAGAGTATCAGAGAATTATTCTAATTTTTATCAGTCTGTGTTGCCTTATCACGTGCAAAACACGGTCTGTATATATTTGGCAATGCTTCCCAATTGATGAAGCAATCGGAGTTATGGAAAAAGATTCTAAATATTATTTCCAAGTCAAGTTGCCTCGAACAATTCATTGATTTATTTTGCATAAAACACTCGAATATGGAAAAGGGTATGGGAGGTATGGTGGTGACGAAAGTAACGTGGGACGGCGATATCCCCCCTTCCGGTGGGTGCCGTAAAAAATGCGGAGAAACCATGAAATGTGGACATGTACGTTATACACGCATTTCTTTGCTTCGTACATAGTATACATAACCTTTCGAATGACCAATTATGTACATATAGATATGTCCACTGGATTGTCATATTTATTCCCATGAAAAAGTTAATTGTCGGGTAATGAATATTTTTTAATTTTCTACTGTTGTTGCCATTTGCAAGGAAAACTAATCGCGATTTACAATTTAACACGAAAAGAACGATTGTTTAAGAAAGCTTCCATGCGGACACCAATGCACCAATAAATGCGATGAAAGTTGCGGAAGATGTGAGGAAAAAATAGTAGCAAACCCCCCATGTAAACATGAAAAAGAAATTCCTTGCTATCGCGCTAAGAATTATATTTGCAATGAAAAATGTCCAAAAAAACTAAAATGCGGCCATCAGGTTTGTATTAAAAAGATTTATGTTCTCATCTAAAAAAAGAAAACCCCCAAGTGGGCAACTAAGCTGATCCTATTTGTGACAGTGCCAAGAAACCTGTGCATCAAAAGGGTGCACAATAAAGTGTGAAGCGAACGCCACGATTAAATATCCGGGTTGTAAACATAATAACCGAATTAAATGCTTTGAAACAGAAAACAAACTGAAAGAAGGTTGTCCTTTTTGTTGAGAAACAGGAGACGTATTGTTTTTTTTCTTTTTACTCTTCCTGTTTTGTTTAAAAAAAGAATCTTATTTATCAAAATACTTGTGGATTGACTATGATTGTTTCCAAATTAAAAGTAGTTAGTTGTGAGGCTGAAAATTATGTAGTTTATGCACTCTTTTATTTATAAAAAATCCAAACTAAAAGGAATGTTACATGGTTTGAAAAAATAATGGTAAATTCCTATTTCTCTTCACTTTTCTTTTTATGCGCTGAAATGCTCGTAATTTAAATTTTTCAGTCATTGTCCGGAGACAGTACATGAAGATTACCTTTTTTCATTGAATCATATTCCGTACTCAGTGAGGGATTTCTTTAAAGTCCTACGATGATTGCTTTTTGACAACGGCGGCATGTGAGTCATTTTAAAGGGCACGTGTTACTAAATGGGCTGAGCTTTACGATTTGTTCTAAATTCTGAAACTTGACAACTATTCCGTTATGTCGAAATCTATAATACAATTATCGAGTTTACTGCGTATTCATATTTTGCTTAGCTATTACAGTATACATTAATAAATCTAACAAAATAAACATCGAAGTATTCATTTAAAAATTGAACACAAGTGAAGAAATAACATATTGACGTGAGTAAGGATAGACTGTCTCTCGGGAGATAATCGTATTCTCATAAGTTAATGATTATGATGGCTGAAAACCTTTATCGATAATAGACAAATAACTTTTAGCATTTAATAATAACAAACTTTTTTTAAAGAGTGCATTAAAACAGCAATTACTATTGATTTAGTTAGTCTGTACAATATAAAATAATGTTTTTCAAGATATTTTATAATCAAAATATGCAATGTAAAATTTTTGATAGCAAAAAAAATATATTTTTTTAAATATAATGTATACTGAATATTTATTTAGTTACAAATAACCTCATGTTTTTAAAATAATAAATAAATTAAATAATTAGAAACAAAAAAAAAAACTTTTTTTTCTTTAGCCATTGTATTAGTAAAAAAATAAAAGATAAAAAAGAAGTTCAGCCTGTTACTGACAAGTGGATTGACAAATGATTGAATGAGATCCATAAATCTGACAGAAGTCTTTTCAATTCTATTTATAAATATATGAAAGAAAGAAAACAAGATCATCTTCTTAAAGAGTTATCTAAAAGAACAGCTCAAAATTTTCTTCAGTATCAATACATTATATAATCAGTTAGTTTTGTCAAAAAATATAAAAAAACTTAAAAAAAAAAGATCTGGAATAGCCATTGTACCAAAACAATAAAATGAAAAAAAAAGCAACATATTATTGAAAAAGAGAAAAAAACAAGAAGATTCAGACATAAACTTAATATAAAAATCATAAAAAATCCATAGAATTTCTAGAAAAGTTGATATAAAAAAACTATTTTCAATTATTTTCAATTATTTGAATCATTAATTTATAGCATTTTCTGATTTTTGTTCCTATTAAAGTAAAAAGCTATAAATTTTGTTTCTTAAAAAGGGACATAAGTAATTTGCAAAATTTTATATGCTAAATACTTTAGGAACCCATTATTAAATATAATAAAACTTATATTAACTTTTTATAATAAAGATCATTATATTAATTATTATAGAAATTTATAACAATACTGTATATAAAATAAAAGTATATTCTTAAAATATATAGAATTCTGGATTTCAAACAATTATCTTAATTAGTTACATAATTATTTATAAGAAAATTTAATCTAATGATGATTAAATTGTAATAGTTAAAAAATTTCTTAGGTTTATCATTATTAGACAACTAAAAAAATTCCTTGAACTTGATTATTATTATAGAAAGTTTATTAAAAATTTTTTTCTATTGTCTATTTTTTTAATATTTATTTAAAAAAAGATATTTTCTTTAAATAAATAAATAATTATCAACAAGTATTTAAAACTATAAAATAACTTTTAATCTTATTTCCTATCTTAAAATACTCTAAATTCTTCAAAATCTTTTACTTTTATATTGATACTTCCGAAACTAATATTGATACTATTCTAATATAAAAAATAAAAAAAGAAATATACAATTACTATATCAACTATTGTTTTAATAAAACTAAATATAATAGATCTGTGAATCAATAGTACAATGGTAATACTCCCAGGTCACAATCACAAGGTCTTGAGTTCAATACCATATGAAGGTCATATGAGCACATAATAAAAAAATCCATTGAATAACAAATCAACATTTGTCATTGAGCATAATCCTAGCTATTTTATTGATACCTGAAATAGATATCCACTATAATACAATATTATCTATAGCTAATCTTTATTAGATCAAGCTGATCTATAGGTGTTATAAATGATCAGTATCTTATTATTACCTTGATAAGGTGCAAAAGGATGGGGTTAATCTTGTGATCAACTGGAATAGAAATCATATTGACAAGAACACTCTGCCAATATTATAGATCAAAAGAAGCTATCAAGTCAAGAAGACTGAAGTTATAGAATAAAGTAAATATTGCACCGGTGAGATGCTTAAAAGTATGACCAATTCAATGACTAATATTTATTAGGAAACCTTGATAGAAAAAGAAATTTATTAGATCATACAGAAGGATCAAATTCTGGTTTAGGTTGTAGTACACAATGGTTTGATAACTAGCTACTCTATAAAATTGTTTTAGGAAAAATTAAGATAATATTATGTACTCTTCCTTAAATAGACTTGATAAGGTCTAGGCTAGTTTGTATATAATATATAATATATTTACCATATAATAAGTATATATATAAATATTATTTCATAATAAATAAAGAGTATAAAATCCTCTAATTACATATAAAAAAGATGTTTGCAAGAAGTTTTATACTTCTTTACTAATAAAGTCTTTATACTTTCATTAAAACAACTTGAAACATGTTTTCATTTATCTCTTCTACCCTTCCTTATTTGTTTATAAGCTTCTTTTAATAAAAACTTGAGCCTCTAGTAATCTAAAAAGACTCAAATATACACTTTCTCTATTAAAGGCAAAAAGATTCTAGAAAATAAAAGGATTAACAAGTGAAGTGTTACCTTCCAGAATTGGAAGTGACAAGAAATAGAGGTTCTATTGATAGGGAAGGCTTATTTTTCACCTTCTTACATAATATCTTATACTCTCTTAAAGTGCTTACTATTTTTTATAGTTTTCTTGGGGAATTTTGCCTATCTCAGTTTAATCCTGAATTTCTGGTAATACAATATCAACTGATATCTGATTGGTTAATACAAAATACATTAGTAGCTGAATATAAACAAGCTTCTATTGATCACTTTACATGTTTCAATGATGTTATTAGTGATTGAAAGAGAAATCAAGAATATAAACTTCTTCACTCCTCCAAATGAAGTTTAACTGAAGCAAAGAAATTATGAGGCCATTAGAATGAGTATTAAATTCCTTAGATGGTAAAAAAGTGATTATTTATTCAAACTGAAGCCTTTAACTTCTTATTATCCTAATTAAATAAAGTACATAAAGGAGGTTATTTCCTTATCCTAGTTAAGTTGTAAAACTAAAAAGCAGAAGAATGTAAAATACTGCCCTTCTCTAGAATTGAGAATATATTTTTCCAAATATTGTGTAATGATATTGCAATCAAGATAAACACTAGTAAAATTCCTTTAACTAGGTATGACTATTTGAAGATATCAGAGTTATTCAACAAGATTGAAAAGTCACATAAAAACTTGGGGTCCACTATTAATTATCTTCTTCTATGTGCGTGGATACAAAATCTAGATTAAAAGAAAGAAAGCATTGAACAAGACACTGGATCTAAGTAGATGATAAGTATCTTAGACAGTTACAAAAAAATAATTAAGAGTATAGATGAATAAGTTTCTCAGGTAGTCAGAAAGAAGAAGAATATTCCAGAAGGGTTGACTTCTAATTAAAAGAGGTTTTTAGCTAAGATTCTTTTGAGGATATAAAGCATTTTTATTTTTCTTTTTTCTTGTTTATTTTCATATAGTATATTTGCATATTTTTAGATATTCCTCTTTTCTTTTATTTTTTCAATGACAACCTGCTGACAATGATGGGTAAGTTAGAAGGATCTTTATCCAAAACCTAGTTTAGAATAAAATATTGTTCCAAGATTGCATTTAGAGGTTGAAGCTCCTTTAAGAATTGAAAGCCATTGACAAGTGTATCAATACAAGTCTTTTAATTTAACCATAATGCAATTGCCTTATATATTTTTATCAGTTTTCTTAATAATTAATAAATATACAGTACTGGTCTGATCACGGATTATAAATAAATAAAAAATAAAAAAAAAATAAATATAAATATAATATTTTGTTACAAATTAAAATGTCTTATAGTAATCTAAGCTATTAAATATTTTCATTAATATATAATGACTTAACTTAAAACTTCTTTTTGATTATTGATTATTCTACTTTTTAATAATTGAAAATAATTGAATTTAAAAGATAATATGTTAGACAAATACTTCATTTGAAATATTATAATATTATTATTAGATATAGAGTTGAAAAAAAATATAATAATACTAACATTATATTTAAGATATATAATATTAATAAATCCTTTTATAATTTCAAGTTTATATCTATTTAAAATTAATTCAAAGTTAATAATTATAAATAATATTCAACAATAAATAATATTTAATCCAGATAGTTAGTATTCTAAACAATAATACAACCTAACTCAACAAGATAGAATTTTAATATCATTATCTTTTTTTTTTTAATTCTCTGTTAGGCTAGTTATGTGTACTTTATTAAACAATTGTAAGCTGTACATATAGTATGAATCGCTAAAGCCAAAACTTTAACTAGCTCACTTGTATTAGTAATTACTCTAAGTACAACTTTGGAAGTGATTTTTCGCTCCATTAAAAGTTCAGGTAAAGACCTTTCCAACTTTTAATATCATTGCCTACAGATTACTACTGCAGATCACTCTTTGTAGTTCTGACAAAACTCAAAATCCAACCATTTTATTCTAAATCTAACCCCTTTTGATAAGATATTTATGAGACCTTGATCTTCTAATCTTCTTTTTTCTATTAATAGAGCTCCTTTTCTTTCTGGTAATGCAGTTTTAGATTTTGGACCAG